CAAAGATAGTGATACAGAATCCTGAAATAGTGCATGATACTAATTTTAATCGAATGTGTTGACTTTCAAAAAGAACACAACACTGGTCTCAAATCAGGTGATCCTGATAACACCACCAAATCAGAATCATCTTTACCACATTATAAGAGATATTCTTCAACACTATTGTAGTTTAGCTAGCATTGAAATGTGTTGACTTGTGTTATAATTGAAATACATGCTACAGCGCCTACTATTAAAAGTCATTTATTTATTGAGCAGTTAGTTTCTCTGACTAGATATCGTTTGACTGAATGAGAAGTTTAATACCATGTAAAATCAAAACGGTTCGGCATTTTATTAAAGAGCTCACACTCCAAATATTGTTATCACATTCCATATATGGTAAGATTATTGGTTTGGACTTGACATCTCACAAAGATCGATTCTAATATCCACATGTTCACATTGAATCTATGAATGAGTGCTCTTTGCAGTCGCAGTTAAAATTTTTCCTCTATCACAACACTTGGTGAAATTACTTTTAAATAGAACGAGTACAAACAACAACACTCAATTAAAACTATAAAAAAAATGAAATATCAAACAATAATTCAAGAATAGTTGGTTCATTCCTTCTAGTATTGATTTTTGTTGTTACCCTTGTCTATGCCAATAACACTTCAAATGGTGTTAAAAGTCATCCATTAGATGGTATTAATTTAATGTTAAATACTAATAATAATCAAGTATTAGAAAGTACTACCAATGTATATGTTAAAGTTAAACAATCTATTATTGTTACCAATGAAATTATTCAACAAATTTCAAAAGTATTATCCAATAATAATCAAGAATTAAAAGTTACAGCTCGTTATCCTAAAACATTCATTACTTGGTTAAATAACCAACAATTAGAAAAGGCTAGAAATGAATTATCTTCTATTATTGAAAGTATTGAACGTGTACCATATGAACATAGAATTACTTTTTCTAAATTAGATATGAATAGTTTATTATATTCTAATTTAAGAATTGTTATGAAATCACAAGAAGATGATTCTACTACTTCTAATAAGAGAGATGCTACTACTACTTCTTCATTGAAATCTATTTTAAATATTAAAGAAGAATTTACATTAACTTTACAACAAAATATTGAAAATGTAAAGAGTTCAACTAAAAAGAGAAATAGTCAATGGTTAAAGAGAGAATTAGAAAATGCCTTTACAATTCAAGTAGAAGAAGAAGAAAATGATGTGTATATTATTGCTTTACAAAATTTCAATGTAAATATTTGGCCATTACTTAAACAAGAAAAAGAAAATCAATTACAAGTTCAATCATCTGCTAGAACTAATATTGTAAACATGTTAAATAGAAGAAGATCATTAGAAGAATATTCTCAACATTATGAATTGAAAGAATATGATGATCTATCTCAACAATTAGGTGAATTATTATTAAATTCATTATTTAAAGAAAATGTAGAATCCATTTCAAGACAATTTCCACAAGAATTATTAACATTTGGTTCAAATATTGTAATTCAAAATGGTGGTCAATCTAATTCTGGTAATTCTGGTAATTCTAATAATAGATTTATTTGGGATCAAGGTATTACAGGTCAAAATCAAGTGATTCAAATTATTGATTCAGGTGTTGAAGTTAATCATTGTCATTTCTTTAAGGAAAATGAAAATTATTTTACCACACCAAATTATTCCAATAGAAAGATTATATTCTATCAACCTGTTACATTATGGGGTGATAAATTAGATAATAATGGACATGGTTCACATTGTGCTTCTATTGCTGCTGGTAATATTGATTCAAATGATGAAACAAATCCAATGAAACAAGATACTGGTGTAGCTCCACAAGCAAAGATTTATGTTACTGATGTTATGAGAAGTATTTTCTTTTATGTTTCTTCTTTAAATAGTTATTTAACTACTGCTTATAGTAGACAAGCTAGAATTAGTAGTAATAGTTGGGGTTGTGCAAATCCATTCACTGTATGTTTTATTATTTTATTTATTTTTAATTTTATTTATTTATTTTTAATATAATAATATTTTAATATTTTAATATTTTTATATAATATAATATAATATAATATAATAATAGTGTTATTATGATTGTGATTGTTATGAATATGAAACAGGTAAACCAATTAATGATACAACATGTTTAGCTCAATATGGAGTTAAATGTTGTCAAGTATGTAATTCCTATGATAAAGATGCATCAACATCAGATTCCTTCACACGTGCCAATGATGAAATGTTAATTGTATTTGCAGCTGGTAATAATGGACATTTTTCAAGTGAAGGTGGTACTATTTTAACACCATCTACATCAAAGAATGCTCTCACTGTCGGTGCACAATATGCTCACTTACAAGAATATACCAGATTTAATACGACACCAATTGATGAAGTTTTATTTAATCATGAAAATATGGCCTATTTCTCTGCACGTGGTAATACTGCTGATGGTAGATCTAAACCTGATGTTGTTGGTCCTGGTGTTTTAATTTGGGCTGCCTATAATAAGAATGTTACTCAATGTACTCCATCTGTTACTTTAACTCAAAAATCAGGTACATCTATGGCAACACCAAGTAAGTTTTTTATATTTTATTTATTTTTATTTATTTAATTTAATTTAATATTTTTAATTTAATAATTTTAATTTAATATTTAATAATAATAATAATAATAGGTATTGCTGGTAGTGCAGCATTGGTTAGAGATTATTTAACACAAAATATTGGTTTATTAAGTATATATGATAAGAATCCACAACAAAGTATTTCAGGATCACTTGTTAAAGCCATGATAATTCATTCAGCACAGAAAATGAATGGATTTGTTCCAATGAATGGAGTTAATACAGCTGAAATACCATCAATTTTACAACCATTATCTAATTTACCATTCCCTAACAAATTTAATGGATATGGTAGTGTTAATTTAAAGAATTCATTATTATTTTCTAATGTAGAAGAATCAAAATCATTAATTGGATCTAAATTATTTATTATTAATAGATATTCATTATCACCAAATCAAGAATTAAATATTCCATTCTATATTAGTAATAGAAAATCTAAAATACCAATTAAAGTAACATTAACATGGTATGATTATGCTGGTACTATTACTGATCCATCAACTGTTACAATGAAACAATTAATTAATGATATTGATTTATATTTAATTAAATCAAATTCTAATGAAATTATTAATTCAAATCCAGGTGTTGAAAGATCTACACAAGATGATTCAATTAATACTGTTGAAAAGATTATCATTTCACCTGAACAATTATTACAATCTACAACTACAACTACAACTACAACAACTGGAGGTGATAAACGTCAATTTACATTGAGAATTGTTGCCAAATCAACAAATATTGGTTCACAAAACTTTTCATTGGTAGTGAGTGGTGATATTGAACAAGGATTGGCACCATCACCTCTATTGGGTTATAAAATCATTTCTAAGGGTTCAATTCTCTCACAAAATGCACAATCATCCTCATTATTAATTCCAGGTTCAATTGCAACTGATAGACCATTCCAAGTACAACAATTACAACCAACAAGTAATTATGTTTTAAATATTAATAATGATGAATCACAATATATTATTGAAAATGCTCTTAACAAGTATGATCAATTACAATCATTACAATGTACTGTTAATAATATGGATCAAAATATTCCAGCCAGTGGATTTGTATTCAATTCTAATAATGTTTATTGTTTCCCACAAGGATTGAATGGTAATACTAAAATTACATTCTCTGGTTCTGATGGTCCAATTGTATTGAAATTAGCAAGTAATTTAAATAGTAATTTTATTACATTTGAATTTATTAATGGTGCTACCTATGATAATGTTTATTGGTTAATTAATAATAGTATTGCAGTTAATGGTCCTATTTATGGTAACATTTTAACTAAGGGTGTTGTTAATTTTAATGTTGTTAATTTATATGGTAGTATTTATAATTTGGGTGGAAATACTTTGAATTTAAATCAATGTAATTTTTATTAAATTTATAAATATATAAATAAATAAATAATAATAATATACCTATTTATGTTGAGTCGACTTTTTGTTCTCTCTCTGTAAACATGCAAAAGTTTGACAAGTTTGTTTCCTGCCTTCATTTGTCTTTCAACCTTCAATTTCAATGTTGGTCTTTGCTCTTCTTCTTGCCTATTTACAAAATATTTGCACAAGATGATGAATATGAATTCCAATCAGTCTTCTAATTTGTATCTCTGATTCTGCTTAAGAACAGGCCATCATGCTCCATTACCTCTCTGAAATCTGGAATACCAAAACCCTTTTCCAATTCTTTATTGGCATTGTGAGAGAGCTGTTTAAGGTAATGTTTCGTTGTGTGATTGCAATTTAAATTTCTTTCAATGGCTGACCTTCCTCTTCTAACATTCCTGAGATTACAGGTTTTGCAATGGATTTGTCTGAGGCTGCTTTGTAATCATTTGTCACAAATGTCAATACTTTGAGTGACCAGAAAGTAGATTCTGTCCACTTCATCTTCCTCTTCAACTTATTCATCAAGAAGTAGTCTTTCTGATGATGAAGAAAAACAACTAGATATTACATCACAACCACAAACAATAACACCTCCAACTAGTCATGATGATAGTACCACCACTACCAACTTCCAAGTTTATGTTCACTTCCTACAGTGATATTTGATTCCCTGACTACGTGTTTCAGCATCACCACAACTGTGTCATCCACAACTTTTGTTACGAATTTTGAATTCAGCCACACCATTGTTTCCCAGCAATAATCCCACAACAATGGGTTCCCTGTCCATTGTCATCTGTATCCCATTCAACTCAATTTGACAGATATAATCAATAAATCTAAATTGTAATATTTATTAACATCTCATGTATCGTAAAGACCTTGTGAGAGACGAGGTCTACAACCAGTAAGTTTCCCTGTTAATTTGATTGGACTAGCAATTTTCCAAATAGATAGCTAGGGCTTTGCAGATTTCAGTTTGGAATGCATGGGTCCAATCTTACTTGACATTCCAGTATTTGTGAAATACATTTGCGATTTTGGTTGATAGGAGAGGTAGAATTGACTTACCTATCAGATAGATGTCATCCTCGTGACTTATATCAACTAGAGATGAAAGCCAAAGTCCTCCTTGAGATTTATCACCATAGACGCCTGTTGTTACATCTTTTCTTAATAAAGATTCACAAATTTTTACTTCCAATTTTTCCAATAGTGAAAGTGGAATAATGTTATTAATTCTGAAGCTGATTCAGAAAGAACCAAGATTGATTTCTGTTCATACAATGCATAAATTGTTGATGTACATGAACGATGCAAAAGATGAACATAATTTTGTGTATGTCAACTTAGCAGTAACGTAACTATCATTCTTTTGTGCAATACTAGCAACAGAGTAATTCAATATTACCGAATGATTATCAACCACTTCTCTAGAAATATTACGATCATAACTTACAGTAAGTGTGGAGACAACACAGAATCATGAAAACAACATTTTATGCATTGTATGAGCAGTGTTAGTAAGCTGAGTATAATAATATACGGCATCAATACTAGATCTCGCCTAAAACTATTGCGTTGTGACTATGCACACAAAACAATTGGAGATTATATATTGTAACAGTAATAGCTTAAGCATTTATAACACATATCACAATCAGCTCTTTGTAACAGTNGTAACAACAGAAGA